ATCTGTTGAAGCTTTTGATGTGTTTGTTTATGTTTCAGGTTTGAACGAGAAGCGAAATAAAAGAAGAACAAAGTGATCGATAAAGAGAGCGATCGAGGGAGATTGAACTGCGATTATAGAAAAGAGAAAGAACGAGAGAGATGGAAGGCGAAAGGGGAGTCGATTTGGGAATTTTGGGGGGAATTTAGGGTTCTATTTTCTGTTGTTTTGTTATTTTGTTTGATGTTGTAATCCGATAATCACCACACACACATCACCACATCATCACCCTTTAATCTCCCGTTAACCCTAATTAACTATAACATAATAATTAATTCCTTTTATTTAAATAATTAACCAATTTTTAATCAATTTTATGAATTTAATTTATAATCAACTTTTAATTTAAATTAACTAATAACTCTTTTAAATTAACCTCTTAATAAGTTAAGTTTTTTTTAAAACTAATTAATCCATTAACTTTTTAGATCTTTTTATTTAAAATAGACTTAATAATTTTTTTTTTATATAAATAGTTTATATCTTCACTCACTAAAGAAAATCTTTTATTTAATTAGACATTAAAATATTTTAAAAATAAAAACAATTCTTTTATATTATTTTATAATTAGCAAATTAATATTGGTTAAGTAATCACTTCACTAGGTTTTTATAATAAAATTAAACTATTGTAGCATTTCATTTAAAACTTAAAATAATTTATATTTAACATCACCTAAATCAATTTCATGTAAAAGTAATACAACCTTCCCATTAATTAATTCAACAATCAATTAAAATCAATCAACATCGTAAAACCATTTCAATTGTGCACACTCACATTCACGACACATGCACCTACACCTTACCGCTTTCATTCGTGTGTATGGTTTACTTTCCTTGCAATTTAATTCCTCAGCAATTTATATCATCGCACTTACATTTTCCGCATCGCATTCCATCCAAAGGAAGAGTCTGCGCATGATCTCAACAATCGTGCGTATGCATCATTTGCATTATTTCCCCTCGATCCTTGATCCCATTCAAGTCGATCACTTAAGATAGATCCTACCCCATAGGAAGGGCCTTGTCTTTATTTTTACAACATAGAAACAAACACAATCAACACAATACAGTTATTACAAACACATTAGAGAATATATGTTAATCATCTTAAGCGAGATAGAATCTCCACCCCACAACAATACAATCAACACGTAGGGACTTTGCCTTAAGAGAGATAAAGGCATACTCGTCAAACAATCCGAGTACTTAAGCTCTTTTCTTAAGACGATGCAAATACTATTTTCCTACAACCTGTGGCGGTTACATCTCCCTTAAAATGAAGAAGCACCTCTTCTCCTAAACTCAATCAATCAACTACCCTGAACCCGTAGGAACTTTGACCACAGTCAAAAAACTCCTCAAACCCTTTATGGGGAACTACAGAATACTCTGATTCCACTCCCGTAAGGATATGTAGGCATAAGATGCAATATCTTATCCAATATACTTAGAAATAAACCCCTGGGTATTTTATACCTTAAGCAGATAAACCTTAGCAATAAACAAACATAAAACAAAGGTTCCTTTAGAGTACTACAGAAACTTAGGATGCTAGCACCTTCCCTAAGTTTAACCAACCCCCGAACCTATAACACTCTATCTTGCATTTGCATTGCATTGTGGGAATTTCGATCTTTATCCCTTCCTTTGGACAAATCAAAGTTCGGTTGCAAATGAATTAGATTCAAGTTAATCAATAGCTTGATATCCAAATTTCACCGCGACAGCGGCTAATGGGGGGAGGGTTGGGGGGAATATGCAGCGCTTATAAAAGCGCTGCTAAAGGGCTAAAAAAGCGCTGCTAAATGTGTTGCTGAAGGGAGCCTTTAGCAGCGCTTTTTCCATAAAAAAAAGCGCTGCCTTTACCTTTAGCAGCGCCACTTTTGGCAGCGCTGCTAAAGGCAAAAAAAAAAAACGCTGCTAAAGGTCTTTTTTGGCATAGTGTTTTCTTTCTTGCCTTAGCTTTTTGCTCAATTCTTCATACTTTTATATAGCTTTTGGTCATTTTTCTTCCGAATTCATCAGAATTTTCTCATAAAATTCATGTAATGACGACTGTAATCACATGTCTAGTTTCTATATTATCATTTATAGATTTTTATTATAACTCAGTCTCTCTATGTAAGTTTTGTGCGTATCTTTTAAATTGAGTGCAATACATTGAATGGTGTTTTTCATGCATTAAATCAATCCATCATATAAAAAGTCATTGCAAGTGGTTCAAGACAAATTAGTCGATTATTTAGATCAAGAAACACATAAATGAGTGACTCTTCTCATACTAGCTTTAAGATTCAATATCACACTTCAATTTTCTCAAAAACTTAAATTTTTAAAGTGATTCAAATCAAGATTATATATGATTTGAATTAAAATTGAATGTGAAAAAATATATTTTGTCATTGCCAATTTGATTCGAATTACATTGTTCTCTAACTCAAATCACAAGCAAGTTTGATTCAAATGAAATTAAAAGGTGATTCGAATCAAAATCTTCTTCATTTATATAAATAAAAATAAATAAACTCTTGTTATTTAAAGGAGGATTCACTAATATTGTGATTAGATTTTTATTTGAATGAATATAATTATTATTTTTTCTTTGGTTTCTTATATTTTATTTTAGTTCTTACAAAATTTATTTTATTAAAAATGATAATTTTTTTTAATATAAAGATAAATAAATATTACATAGACCAACATTAAAATAAAAATATTTTATACAAAATTAAAATAAAATACAAACGAACGAAAATAAAAATTTGTATAAATTCAAGAACTAAAAATAAATATATTATTTTACAAAGACTAAAGTCAAAACACATTATATTAACAGAAAATAAAAACATATGCCTTTATTCAATTAGAAGAACAAAAAGTCTGAGTAGTTTGAGACTAGATATTTTAATATGAGGTCGAAACTAGAATTTTTATTTTTTGGGTTACCAATTTAGACTAGTAGTTTAATGGAAAGTCCCTGGAAATTGAGTGGATTTGAAATTGTAGTTCCATTATTATAAAAGCTAAGACTTCTTCAACCATCAAATGTGAACGCACCATCCAAGTTTCAGATTTAGAAGTAAGGTTTTTTCTTTATTTGTTTTTTGGATAATCATGTGATGATATCTTAAAATATTAAATATTTGAAGCAGAATGAAATGGAGAGGGAGAGTGAAATATATTTTTTATTTTATTACTTAAATATTTTAAAATAGAATATTTTTTTTTTATAGGAGGTAGTTAAAGCTTTTGACATTATTTGTTAGATTGAGATATTTTGACTTTTGTGTGATGATAGTAAATTTAGTGAGGATTTGTTCCATTTAGACATTTGAAAGCCAAAGTTAGGAGATGAAATTGTTTAGAGGGACTGTTAGCAGAGATGAAGATTTTATTAAGGGGTTGTCTATGAAGAGAGTTTCTAAAGTTGTTAAGTTAATGCATCTTTTACTACAATTAAGGAATTTTTAGAGTGAGTTTTTCTACTTCAATGCTGCATGTGTATTGTCAAATTATTTTTTGGTGTAAGAACGTGTCAACCTAATCATATGAAGGAAACAACTATTCGTCTTGATAAAGAGTTGTGAAAGGTAGTTGAAGACATCTTGGTTGGCGGATGTCCTTTCTTCGGAAACCTATATTGGAGGTAACTTCATTACCCATTAAAGTTGATGGATTTGGTTTGTACTCGACAATAGAGTCTGTCTCATATGCTTTTGTGCCTTTTAGAGCTCAATCTTGACTGTACATAATTATATATTAAGAGACAATGGAGTATATGGTTTAGACTATAATTTTGACAGAGTTTTGGATGGTATTAGTTTTACGATTCTAGATGCTGACCTTATCAATTTTACTAACAATGACACACCACATCGTCTCTCCCTTCTAAAGAACAATATGTTTGGACAAATGTTTTTTTAAGTAAAAATGTTTAGGATACACCGATGCTAAGTTTGATATGATCACAAGACAGAAAACTATTTTTGGTTGTTTGCAAGCCGCACATGCTAAAAAATATCTCCTTGTTATTCCTATTGATGAGTTAGGTTAACATATGTCACTGGTGGAGTAACATATTATCCTGAGATACCATCTTATGATTATCTTATTTCCTATTGATGTGGTTTGTCTCATTTGTCGCAAAGCGTGTTTGTATACATTTGAGAAACACGTGATTCATTATACGAAGCTTTCAGGCTTCATATGCCGACATGTTCTGGTAATGTCCTATTTGATATATTTTGGTGGGACAGAGTATTTGTGAAGAAAGAGGCGCATGTGACTTTCTTGTCTGACTCACATGAGGGGAGATCGACACATAGACAAGCAGATGTTCTGGTGTACGAATAAGTATGAGAAAAACATGCACGTGTGAACTTGACACAAGTTTCTCCATTTGTGGGGCTGAGGATTTGAGGTGTTACTGTGGGACAAGGAGTCCTCAAAGTCGCTTGAAGTAAAGTAGTCAAACATGAGAAATTGTGTTCCAATAATCAACATGCTTTCATACTATTTATCTTTAACACTTTTGATTTCTTAGCATTAGAGGCAGTTAATCAAATTTTAATATAAAAGTGAGTTCAAAAACAAATTTTAATGTAAAAATCAAATTTAAATTTAAAAATTACAAATTTTAACTTCAAATTAAATCAATTATAAAAATAAAAAAATAGTTTTATTTTAGAACAACGAAATACCATCAATTATACACTTTTAAATTGTTTTTAGCTATTTCAAAAACCAAATCATGTACTTAAAATAGCTTTAAAATACGAAAATGTTATCGGATATCTCAGTGACAGTTTTTAAAACTTTAAAATACTAACAATTTTTTTTTTAAATATCGGTATTTAATTCATTAAAAATTAAAATAGTGAACACGTTATGCCTAAAAAAGTGAACTCTATTCCTACATCTAATGCCACCTGAATAATCACGACTTCAGTTCAATCATGTCTTTCATTTCCACTCTCAGAAGATCCATCTCACCCTTCATCCCACACTTCTCAATCCAACGGTTCCACATCCTCCACCCTTCAACCTCATCTTCCCCATCTCGGAACGCCCTTTTCGCCGTCATTCTCGCCGGCACCAGTCTAGGGTTTCTTCTCTACACCACCAACTTTGACTCAACTCTCTTTCAACCTTCTCTCTCTTCCTCTGTTGACTTGTCAACACCGAATTCCGAAGACCAAAACCGATCTCGTTTTTCACCTTCTTCATTCCTTACGAAATTCTCCCTTCCTGAAACTTCCGGTACCTTCATTTTTGGAGGCAAGTTTATGTCCCGCTAATTTTTTGTTTAAATTTTGAATAATTGAGTAAGAATTTTTTGGTTAATTGAGAATGCTAAACGGTGATTTGCTTTTTGGTTGATGCATTGCAGAGGCGTATAGAAGAAAGGTTTTTTTCAACTATGAGAAGCGCATGCGGTTGCGAAGTCCTCCCGAAAAGGTATTTTTTCGCGCGTGAATGATTATCATCACCTAGTTTTAAGATATTGACTAGACTTTAGAAAATTTGTGTATCTAATTTCAATAGATATCAATCTTTATAAATAACACAAATGTGAATTGATTAGTTGGTATTTGCCTATATTTAAGACAAAAATTTAGACACTATTTTTTTGGTTGCTTATAATTGAGTTTGGATGAAGTAAGCACATTCTCGGTGAGCCGTCTTAAGTTTTTGTTTTCGGAGGCACGAGTAGGTTATAAAACAATTAGAGGCCTTATGTAACGACATTTTATCAATGATAAATATTTAATGAGACCCTATTTATGTACTCTTTGCGTTTAAAAATGATTTTTGTTTAAGGTTTTTTCACACAGATTAAGAAATGCAATAATATTATCATAATACATTACACTTTTACTAAATTAACCTTATTAATAAGTTGATAGTAGTGTAATGAATAATAATTAAAAGACATAATTGAAAACATAGCAACCATTTTTACATTGAAATGTGAGAATGATAGTCATTTTGAAATGAATTTTATTGTTAAAATGACAGTCATGCCTTGCCTTGTATGTCCTCAATGACCTATGTACCACCGACACCTCTGAAAAATGATGTGTCTGTGTCCGTTCGGACACCGACACTTGTAATTACCTCTAATTTATTCATTTTTCAAATTATTACCAGTGTTGTCGTGTCGGTGTCGTATTTGGGGTGTCCGTGCTTCATAGTCAAAGACGGCCCTGTCTGTTACCATCAATCATCGTAGTCATTGTGTATATCAGTTTAATTCAAAAATATACTTTTTATTGACAATATAGAACATATATTGTAGTTGTGAAATATGTCATTTTGTATTTAAAAGTTTATAACCAAGTAATAATAATATGTCTATGTATCTATTAGGTTGTTGGGTCATCAATTCTTTAGGGGTCATAATGAGAGTATTTTATGTTAAAATCTTTCTTCAAGAGCAACACACACTAAGGGAGAGAGACACCACATATTCACCCAAAACCTTAATATGATAGGTGTATGGGTTCTCTCATTTATAAAGTGTTCAAACTTCACTTTTCTAATCAACGTGGGACTTTCCCACACTTTTGTTTTTCAACACTTCCAACTCACACTTGTTTTTCTCAACATTAGGAATCCAATAATAGAACTCCAAAGAATTACACTTTTATTTAGGATAGAGTAGGAGAGCATCTATCCTCACTCAAGGGTTTCCCTACCATTCGAATATGTAACTAGTTATTTATAACTAGTTAAAACCATGTACTTGGAACGCTTGCTAGTTGTGACATTATTGATTAATAAAGCATGAGACACAACAACAACAATCAAGTCTTACCCCACTAAATGCAGTCACATGGGACACAAGATGTAACTAATTTTTCCTGTAACTAATTATTGATTAATTCGAATATGTTTTTAGCTGAAGGGAATGTTTTGGCCTAGTAGGGAACTATGTAATTCTTCCCCATTTTTGGTACCATAGCAATCTTCTGATATCATTACATTGAATGAATGCAATGGTTTCTTAGTTCCTTTTGAAGTGTGAATTGTACGTTGACAATCTTTACTCCTTTTTATTAAGGTTTTTGAATACTTTGCATCTTATCGATCACCACAAAGAGAAGTACTCATGATGCCGGCAGACCTAATGAGGGCTGTAGTTCCTGTTTTCCCTCCATCTGAATCTCACTTTGTTAGAGATGGATACTTGATAGGAGAAAGAAGCCCTGGCCATTTATGCTGCTCTCCTTCAGAATTTTTTATGCTTTTCGATCTAAACAATGATGGACTTATATCTTTTAAAGAGTGAGTCGAGTATATTCTCTCTGATTATCATGTTCTCCGTTAACAACTTTTGCTGTGTTTGTTGTGTAATGGGTATGATCTACTTATTCTGAGAAGTTTAACTTTTTAGTCTTTCAACTTTTGTTAATTATTCCTGGTGTGGGAAATGGGCTACGGTATAGTGGATGCAAAGCAGCCTAAGTAGGATCTGGTCCGAGGACCAAGCAAGCAGTTAATAAATGGACCTGCTGATACTTTATCCAGGGCTCTTGGCTAATTGTTTTCTCCTTAAGGCTTTCTCTTTAATCTTTAGATCTTCATAACTTGTCTGTTTGTGTCTATAATACCCTTATTTTTTCTGAAGCAGGTATATCTTTTTTGTAACGCTACTCAGCATCCCAGAATCAAGCTTTTCTGTGGCATTTAAAATGTTTGACGTGAACAACAATGGGTGAGTGCTCATGGTACTTCTTTGAAATTGTAATCACTAACTGTTGGAAATTCAAGCTTGAGTGATTAAGTCTCACTTTACTTAAGAATGAGTTAAATGAAAATGTTATAAAAAACTGACCTACATACGTAATCACTTGAAGTTTTATATAAAGCTGTGATGGAAAATTTGTTCTTATGATTAGTTGCTTCATATGATCTTCCTTTCAGGCCCCTGTACTCTAGCTCCCAGTGTGGTATAATCTGCTATTTACATATTTTAACCATGGATTTATTTCTCAGAATTTTAGTATGAATCTAACTCAATCCAAAAAGCTATCTCATGGGGCGAGGGTTGTCTCCCACTTACAACCACTATCTCGTTCGTATCACTAGTCAATATAGGATCTTTAACGGTATTAATTCATAATGTTTATAGATCAAGGACATTGCTACTTGTTTGTTGTCAGTGGCATCAACTTCAAGGCTGCAGAAATTGTTGCTTTGTAGGTCTAGCTACATTATGAATTGATATTTTTAGTACTGTGGGAGCTTGAACATTTCCTATTGTTCCCCTCATCTGACGAGGTTAATTACTTTTCCCCATTTATAGAGAGATAACCAAGGAAGAATTCAAGAAAGTGATGGCATTGATGCGAACTCATCACCGACAAGGTGTTCACCACAGGGATGGACTGCGAACTGGTCTGAAGGTGAACGATTCTGTGGAAAATGGAGGGCTGTTGGAATACTTTTTTGGTGAAGACGGAAAGGGTTGCCTCAAACTTGATAAATTTGTGCAATTTTTACGAGACTTGCATGATGAAGTAAGTTCTAGTTGTTCCGTTCTCACCATGTCATTATGGGTTTGATTGATTTTGTCTTATCGATAGTGGATTTGTGGAGGGACAAGGAAGTTTTGCTTTACTGAAGTTTGCACCCTCTCTCTAGTGTTTCACTCTTATGTTAGGGGGAGTTCTTATCTTTGAAATGCACTGCAAGCAACAATTTCACAAATTTGATAATTGTGCATATAGAAATCCTTACTTTTATTTTTGAGATATTATTAATGTTGTGGTAGTTGTGACTTGTGATAGTAGCATTCAAACCGAGAAAACCAGTCATTGCTTCTAGATATAATCTTTTTTCTATTTTAAGTTTTAGTCATTATTGAAGACCGTCCTAATATATGTTAATATTGGCCCATCCTTTAAAAAGTAATCATACTCTTAAGAAACTGATCTATTTACAGAGGCAATGAAATTGTCTTTTTATAACCTGAACAGATAATATAGATTCTGTTTCAAAACGCATGTGGATAGTATTTCTCTTGTATGAATTAGAATTCCTACTAAAATATTTATATGGATAAATATCATTTTCTATAGTGGCCTCGAGTGATTATCCACGAGACTATGACAGTTAATCTACAATATTTATGTAGATGCTGAAGCTGGAGTTTGCTCACTATGACTACAAATCTCGAAAAACAATTTCAGCCAAGGACTTTGCACTCTCCATGGTTGCTTCCGCCGACATGAGTCATCTAGGCAAGTTGCTTGAAAGGGTTGATGAAATGAATGATACTCCATGCTTTAAGGACATGCACATCACATTTGAGGACTTCAAAAACTTTGCCAATCTAAGGAAAAAGTTATTTCCATTTTCATTAGCCCTTTTCAGTTTTGGAGAAGTAAACGGCCTGTTGACGAGAGATGATTTTCAGCGAGCAGCGTCACATGTATGACATTTATCTGTGTTTTATGCTTAAAAAAATTGATTTAGATTATATGGCCAAGATGGCAAGTTCATGTTTTGTTTGTTTCAATTTCAGGTTTGTGGCATATCTCTCTCGGACAATGTGGTTGAGATTGTTTTTCATTTGTTTGATACAAATCAAGACGGAAACCTAAGTACAGACGAATTTATCAGAGTGCTACACAAGCGAGAAAGAGACATTGGACAGCCAGTAGAAACAGGAATGTTGGGTTTGTTGTCTTCCTGCTGGAACCGTAAACAAAACATCTCACCTTCACAGTTGTTTTCCGGATAGGTAAAATTACTTCCACAGCCATTTTAACCCAGAAATAATACAGTGAATATGAGCCCTTGTTTGGAAGAGAGAAAAGAACAAGATAAAAGAAGAAAAGGTGGGCACTAAATTAATCATTGTTGACAGCTTAGAAATAGCAAAGATATATTGTTTGTTGTTGTAAAAAATATATATGCCAATGATGTGGTCATGTCTGACAGTTGTAACTACATAGGTACCTTTTCCAGCTTTGTAACCAATATAAAACTTTTTTTATGTTCAATGAAATTTGTTTTTGGAATATTTCAACTTTAGCAGATTTACTCTATTTATTTATCAATAATTTTTTTTTATCACATGTAGTAAAATAAGCAAATAAATCACGTGAAAATAAAAAATAAAAAATAAAAAATTCCTGAAGCCAAGGAGCAAATTTTTTGTAAGGACTGAAATAAAGGAATATCCTCTGGCAGAGAAAACAGTGAAAAGGACAAAACAAATTCATGTTTGTCTCACTATGAATGTGAACATGAGCATGTCAAATGTAAAAAAAACAACTATAGTTGAAAAATTCCACGTGTTCAAACAAAGGATGATACACAATTAATTAACATTAATATTAACCCAATTTTGTGTGTCGTTTAGTACTTTCCCCCAATTTTCCTCGAGAACAAAAGCACCCACCCTTTTATTCTCCATTATTATCAATATTATTATTCCACACCTTCCATCCACGTTGACTTCAAAACAAAAGAAACATCGAAACAAACCCTAAATTGTAATATTTCTATTTCTCTCCCTCCAATTTCATTCGTTTCAGATTGAAAATTTTCTGTTTAATTTTTTTTTTTCATCTTCAATTGATTATTATTATTATTGCTATTGTTAATATTTGAAATTGATTGATTCAGAGATCTATGGGGAAACCAGCTGGGAAAAGGAAGGATCATGAATCACCAAAAGTAAACAACAATCACAATAACAAGAAGGGTTACGAGCGTTCATCATCCTCAAAAGCATTAGATGATGACACAGCTATGTTCATCAACATGTCACAGGAGCTAAGAGAAGAAGGTAACAAACTTTTTTACCAGAGAAAAGACAATGAAGGCGCTATGTTAAAGTACGAAAAAGCCCTCAAACTCCTTCCCAAAAATCACATAGATGTTGCTCATCTTCATACAAATATGGCTATGTGTTATATGCAATTGGGTCTTGGTGAGTATCCTCGAGCAATCAATGAGTGCAACCTTGCTTTGCAGGTTTCGCCTCGGTATAGCAAAGCTCTTTTGAGGAGAGCTAAGTGTTATGAAGCTTTGAATCGGTTGGATTTGGCTATGAGAGATGTTAGAGTTGTTTTGAATGCTGAGCCGAATAATCTTTCGGCGTTAGAGGTCCTTGATAGCTTGAGAAATACTATGGATGAGAAAGGGATTACTATTGATGAGACCGAGATTGCCCTGGCTGCTATACAGCAGCAAGAGTCTCCTGCTGCTCGGTTTAGGAAAGTTGTTAATGAGAAGATTAAGAAAAAAAAGGGACACAAAGGGGAAGGTGAGGAAGAGCGTAAAAGTAAGGTTGTTGTGGAGAAGAAAGCCAATGTTGTGAATGTTAAGGTGAAGGGTAAAGATCCTAAGGATAAGGTTATGAAGGATAAGGATAGTAGAGAAGTTGTTAAGAAAGATAAAGAGGTTACTAGGACTGTGAAGTTGATATATGGAGAGGATATAAGGTGGGCGCAATTGCCTGTGAATTGTAGTATGAAGTTGGTGAGGGATGTGATAAGGGATAGATTTCCAGGGTTAAAGGGTGTTCTTGTTAAGTATAAGGATAGGGAAGGTGATTTGGTTACTATTACTACTACTGCTGAATTAAGGTTAGCTGAGGATTGTCATGTGCTTGGCTCGATTCGGCTATACATTACACAGGTGGATTTTGATCAGGAGCCGCGTTATGATGAAAAGACGAGTAGTGGTGAGGTGAGAGTGGGGAATGGGGTTGGAGAAGGTGACAGGGGTGTCAGGGCAAATAGAATGATTACTGTGGAGGATTGGCTTGTTCAGTTTGCAAGGCTGTTTAAGAACCATGTTGGGTTTGATTCGGATTCATATTTGGATATTCATGAGGTTGGGATGAAGCTGTATTCAGAGGCGATGGAGGATGCTGTGACAAATGACAGTGCTCAAGAGCTGTTTGATATTGCTGCGGATAAGTTTCAAGAGATGGCTGCTTTGGCTTTGTTTAATTGGGGAAATGTTCACTTGTCTAAAGCGAGGAGGCGGGTGCCTTTTCAGGAGGATGGGTTGAGAGAAGCATCTTTCGAGCATGTTAAAGCTGCATATGAGTGGGCTAAGAAGGAGTACAAGGAAGCGGAAATGAGATACGAAGAGTCTGTGAAAATCAAACCGGACTTTTACGATGGACTACTTGCTCTTGGGTATCAGCAGTTTGAGCAAGCAAAGCTATGCTGGTGTTATTTAATTGCAAACAATGAGAAATTTGAAGTTGACCCTTTTGAGGAGGTTCTACAGCTCTACAACAAGGCAGAGGACAGTATGGAGAAAGGGATGTTGATGTGGGAGGAGATTGAGGAACAACGTTTGAATGGACTATCTAAATTAGATAAGTATAATGCACAGTTAGAGAAAATGGGGTTGTTTGGTCTTTTCAGCGATGTTTCTTCTAATGAAGCTGATGAGCACGCATCAAAGATGAGGATACAGATATATCTTTTATGGGGCACCTTATTGTACGAGCGTTCCGTTGTGGAATTTAAGCTCGGACTACCAACATGGGAGGAATGTTTGGAGGTTGCAGTTGAAAAGTTTGAACTAGCTGGAGCTTCTACAACTAACATTGGTGTCATGATAAAGAACCATTGTTCTAATGAAACAGCCATGGAAGGTATGGGTTGGAGAAAAATTATCCATCATGTCTGTATTTATCAGATGCCTTGCTTGTTTCAAATTTTTTAGGGAACTGACAAACAAATTTTCATGATTACAGGGTTTAAAATTGACGACATAGTGCAAGCATGGAATGAGATGTATGATGGGTGGCAGTTTGATGTTCCAACTTTCCGTCTTGAACCATTGTTTCGTCGGCGTGTTCCAAGACTCCAATACATCCTGGAGCAATTTTAAGTTTTCTTCTTGAGTTTGTTATTCTTTATAGAGGCAAAATTAGTGCTTCTATTTTCTTCCGTAATATTTTTGAAGGTTTCTGCATTCCATTCTGAGACAGGTAAGTAAAATTATGATACTTATCCTACAGTTTTGTCTGCATGTTCATATCTTTAATTGAAGCTGTAGTTTTATAGAATGCTATACCAAATGTTTTCTGTTGGTAAAAAAGTTAAGTGCTTATTTCTGGGCTTACTCTAAATTACAAGTTTACAACAGGTGTTGTCTTTCTGTTGTTTGGCTCTCAAAAGTTGAGATTCTTATTTCTGGGTTTTTCATTTTATATAATTTTCCTGTTCTAATTTCATTGATTCAGTTAAACATTTTTATCAACGATGACATCTATGCGGTTGGTCTGAATGGATTTATTTTCCTTTTGATTGCAGGTATTTTTTCTTCATTTTTGTCAAAACTCCGTGAAAGAGTGCTATGATTGAATTATTTTTCGTATAGCAGTTTTGTAGAGGTTGGGATGTTAGGGTTAGAGTATTTGTTTTACCATTAAAGGGGTATATGTTCCGAGGGTTTTTGCAGTTGTAAAATCAGTGTATGATTCCATTTGTTGGTTTGAGGTAATGAGTGATTGGATTTGTTCAGTTTGCAAGCACAACAAAAAAAATTCAGCTTGGTGGGGTTTGATGATTATTTAAGTTGTGAAATTGTTATTTATAGTATGCTATTTCTATGGAGTATATTGTATAGCACACTACATTTTGCATCATATTTGTCTCTTGAATCTCTTGAATTTTGTTTGTTTCAGAAATTTAGTTTAGTTTTGATAATGGAGGATTTGAACTTATGACTTCCTTATCAATTCAACATGTGTGTCTTGGAGCACACTCCTCGCTTGCTAACTCAATTGCCATTTATGTTCTGACACTATTTTTGAAATAGTGAATGAAATCCTTTGAGTTTCAGTCAATTGAGGAGAATGTGTTGAGAAGAGAATGTTGTTAGCATTCCTTGAAGATGCTTGTTGGATCATAGAATTAGGAATCTCACAAACTATCTTAATTTTATATTTCATTTGAGGATACCGTATTCCAATTACAGAAAAGAATGGACACGCTTTAAGTACATGAAAGAGATATTTCATTGAATGAAGCTAGCTGTGTTACAGAAGTCAACTTTTTGACCTGTAAACACTTGTGATATCAATATATGTTTAGATTCATTCCAAATTCTATAAATTTTTAAAATTGTTTATTTCGTCTCATACGAATGATATTATTCAGATGCACCACAATCACTCAACACACTGTTGATTAGAAATGGTTCTTTGAGAATGAATTCTTGAAACTAGAATATTTCTCTTAAGTATAAATGTCTAACCTTAAATTGTAATTTGACAAAGGAATGATGAGTTTGTTTAAGTTGGTAAAGAAATTTTAATTTGGGGGTTGTATTTGTAAAATAAATAAATATAGGTGTGTATGGTATTTATATAAGAGTTGGGGATATTTAGAGACTTTAGGAAGTTTATAATAACAATTGAGGGTGGTTAAGACGTGCTCAAGGCAGTGAAAAGCCATGTATGGTGGTTTTAGGGTGGATTTAAAGAATTTGCTCACGTGACGTGAGACTCGAGACTCTGTGTATCAACATAGTGTAGTGGGTATTATGTGTCAATTGTGATATGTCTTTCCTCATCATGAGATGATGTATTTATAGTGGCTCTTGGGCTTAGGACTTTCTACATTTATCATAGAATGAGATAGTTATTTCTTCTTTGACCCATTTTTCTAGTCCGTTGTAATAGGACATGTCATCTCTCATGTCTACTAGACGAGTGGAAAGAGTTTGAGTGAACTAAGAACAAAGGCGAGTTGTTACTAGAATCTAGGCGACTTTATGACCCATTTTCGGGTAGGTTCATGGCCCATCTCGGGCGGACGATGGCTTCATTTGATAACTCGCACCTTGTCCATGTGTTGACCTACCTCACTTTTTGCAAGCAGTTCCCTCATGGGGCCGAATAAAAATACATCACTACACAATCCCTCAAGCACAATGGCTTGGTAAAGGGAGAAATGTTTAATTGACTTTGCATTGTGGAAGCTTCTAAGTGGACTCCCTCAGGAGAGACTTTAAATGGAGTCTCTTAAGTGAGACTTTAAGTTGAGTCTCTCAGACGAGATTATATGTTCAATTTCTCATATGAGACTTTATGTCGAGTTGCTCAGGTGCAACATTAAGTTGAATCTCTTAGAAGATACTTTATGTCGAGTCCATCAAGCGAGACTTTAAGTTGAGTCTCTCAGGTGAGACTTTAAGCTAAACTTGTATGGTTAACACTCCAATGCTCAAGTCATATCAAGATTCAAGATAAGTGTAGTACAAAGTGGAAATTAGAGAGTGTGTGTGTGTGTGTGTGTGTGTGTGTGTGTGTGTGTGTGTGTGTACCTTGCTTTCAGTGTGAACTGATTTTATACCTTTGGTCAAGTGAAATGGATTTGAGTTAATTTGGGCCTTAACCCTTTTGGCTTCTGGACAGTTACCCCCAAGACTTTGCTAGACACTGAGGGAGTTGGGGATGCCTTAAGTTATTTTGGTCGTCCTTTAAGATGTCGTCTGGTAAGAGCTAGAAATGAAATGCTTGTAATCAGCTAAAGAAGTAGTAGAGAATAAGTGCATTAAATGCATTTTCATCATTGAAATATTTCACCGCCTTCTCCTGACATGTGCACTGATTTGACAAGCTAGGGCATGGTGCGACTTATCGTGCACTTGAGTTCACTTGAGTCTGTGTGTCTTCTCAAGGGGAAATCTAACCATTGATTTCGTAACTATTCTCCTTCCCTGATTTGGGTCGTTTAATCGTCGTCTGCTTATAAATAAGTGAGAGTTGAACGCTGTAAAACCTATTTACAATCCTTGGTATTCAAGTTCACTTTATTAGTAACATTTTCTCTTTTTCCTTCCAGAAGGTGTTCATCGATGATTGTAACTTTTCTATCAAAATTCCAGCCTTACTTAATTTACTTCGCTTCACAAATCTCTCATAACTTGGTACATTTATCCCCTAAAGCTTTTACATTTAACATTTCCTTTTTTTTAGTCAAAATGAGTGATGGTACCTTTAGGGATGTCAATGGGACAAAGAATGTGAGGAGGATGTTTCCCCACTCCCCACCCCGACCCCCAATATTTTTTCCATCTCATCCCCGCCATGAGGGAATATTTTTTCTCCATTCCCGCAAATCCCCACGGAGAATCGGAGATCCATGAAGATCGAATCTTTAAAAAAATTACGTTTCTATCAAAACTATGACATTAGTATTTCATTATTATTATTTAAAAAAAAACATAAAATTTTCATCTTTATTTTTTTAAAAATGAAAATACATCTTGCTTCAATAATAAAAAAAAAAAATACAAAAACACTTGCAGTTGCAAAAATAGAATCACTAGTTTACTAAATGAATGAAAAATAGGTTACGAATTGAAGTATAATGGAGTTCAAGAGTAATTACCATAAGAAATATGAACAAATGAGAGTGATTGTTGCGATGATGAGAACAGAAGATATGAGGAATGGAGGAGACAAAGAAAATCGAGAAAAGAAAAAGAGGAGATGGTGTGTACATTGTATGTAATGGGTACATTTTTTTAATGTTGATTGCTTGGGTAGTGAAACAATACATTATACAATGAAAAAATAAAATAAAATAATTCATAAATGAGTATTCCTTTCCTACTATATTAATTATTTTTTTGTTAAAAAAAATGCAAAATTATATAATTATATATTATATATTAAAGTTAAAAAATATGGTCGGGGAATCCGCGGGGTGTTCGAACTGCAGTAAAGCGGCAAGAGGCAAAAATTTAGTTTTGAAGGAATTTCCTTCGGGGTTTATATCGTCTCCACAGGGATCGGTGCGAGGAAAAGAACGTCGTTAAACGGTCTCTGCATTCGGAGCTTCTTGTGGAAATTTGGTTAAAAGATTCATGTTACCATAAATAAAGGCAGAAAATATAAAGACGGAAAATATAAAGTAAATACTGAATTATAAACAGAACCTTGTTGGGATTGGATCTCATCAATTGATAACACATGCATTCTTTTGATCATGTTAAACACAACTCAATCATTCATCTAATATCCTCACGTATCACCCACAACAGAGGTTATATCTAACGCAACACCAAGAGAACAACTGTATTGTCTCATTGGTGATGTCTCACGCAACAAAACCAACACAGAGCATTAAGAACTGATACTCACGCAAATGTTAAGCCTAAATCTGTGTCTAGAGTTTAGAACCTAACAGGTAATCATCCTAGATCCAGATCTGAAGAGTATATGTCTATAGCAGTTCAAATTAAAGATAAACAGGTAAATAAAGACGACACACATATCAGATAGATGACTGTTTCATATTAAACACAATGATCAGAATACGTACATATGTTTAACCCTTTTTACATGCATTCAACTAATCTGCCAAATGGATGTGAACATCGTTCTTCATCACTATTATCACGCATCCTCACAATACCGTATTGATCCTACTCATGCTACTTAATCAACACAATAAAATAAAAAGATACAAATGAATATCAACTTACAAAACCATGTCAAGAGTTTGCTCATTGATAGATGAAAATCTAAGATCAAAGATTTGAAAAAAGTTTTGTCAAGACCCACAAATAAGCAATCAAAGATAATCAACAATAGAGAATCAAAACTAGTTCACAAACATATATTAGATGAAATACATAAGGTATCAAAAGATTACATCCAAAATCCAACAAGAGATCAAAGATCTTACCTTCTCCCTCTTAGAGTTTGTATTTCTCTCCCTCTAAAATAAGCTTGAAATGAAGAGAGATAAAGTTCTGATGTGAAAAATATAACATTCTATTCTAAAAAGCAAGAAAAGTACTTATATAGTACATTTAGGATCTGTCATGTTCGCACTGCGGACAAATTCTTCTCCTAGCGAATATCAAGTTAG